ACTATCAAGAACTGAGAATGCTTATTAGCATTTTCATATCCACATCAGTAACTGCTTTCTTTGGTGCATCACTTTTCCCCCCCCCAACAAAAATTTCAACAAATAATCAGACTTGTTTTGATTTTGTGTGATACAGCACAAAATGGCCAGACATGTGGTTCACTCTCAAATACTGACAAACCAAAAGGCAGTCAGTAGATGTTGTCAACAACTTCCTCATCCCAAAATAAAATTGAGTTAATTCACCAGTTTGTATGCAAATTCTGAACATTTTCTGAGAACAAACTGACAATTTTTGCAACTATATTAAGAATCATTAACCCTTCACATCTTATGGTTCTTAAATGATAAGGTACTATAAACATATACACCCATGACCACATTTTTCAATTAGATATAAACAGACAAAATTTTGCCCTGGGAATTCCTGAAGAAGAGTGCATGACAAATGTCTACAGCTAATGTGCTAGGAGGAATTTATTTTAATGATTCAATATAGGAAATTTTTCAGAAAATGTATCAGCTGTTATTCTCTAACTATTCCTCCCTGCAAAATGAAATTAGTTCCCATTTCCCATTTGAGATTAAAATGTAATCACTCAGTTTCCACAATGCAAACATTTTATTCTAAACAATTCTTTTTGTTTCTAACTCTGTTCATCCCTACAGTTATGGCTTTGATGCAGCTGTTATAAGCTAACACAATATGCTGTTTTGATTTAGCACAACTGCTTACATTTTCCTGCCCACATTTAAATCGTGATCCTCTTCTTACTGAAATACTGAGAACCTCTTTACTGATCATCTTCGGTATCAGACCCATTTACAGAAAACAGTTTTGCAGACCAGCTCCAATTTCTAAGTAGGTCTTCAATGTTTGAATCTACTAAAATACAGACTTGTACAGTAGCTCTACAAAAAGGTCTTAAGAAATCAACTAAAAGATTGACAGCTATCTAAAATTAGGTGCTTGCCCTTTTCCTTGAATCAACATCTTCAAGGAATTTAAAACTGTTTCAAACCTGAGACCAAGGTTATTTTATTTGGTAATAAAGAATTAAAGAGGGATGAAAGTTAGCTACAGTTTCTGCTTAGAACTGCCTCAACAATTTAAATTAAATGGCTGTTAAAAGATAGTCAAATATTTATAAAAATTCACATGATGAGTGAAACCTTAGCCAATGCCGAACATTTCACAATCAGCCAATAATTGGGCGGGGGTGAGGTTTGAGGGGGAAACGGCGATTTAGCTGAAAGAAAGAAGATACATAAAAGACACTGAAGAATTCTCACCAAAATGGAGATGTTATCACTTTTCACAGCGCATAGCCATAACACAAATGAAAACTCCAGCATGAAACGTAATGCGGTCATATTATTCACTTGATTTTTTTAATACAAAAATGACTTATCCTTTTGTTTTGCACTTGACAGAGTATGATGTGAATACAAGAATATTAGATCAGGGGTCCAAGAAGAGACTATGAACAGGTCAACTATGTATACATTTTCAATATGGATCTTTCAAACTTCCAGCTTGCCTGACCAAAGAGACGGTAGCAAACAGAATATAACTCTTCTTCAGTAAAAATGGAAGGGGGAAGGTGAAAGTCAGCTATTAATAGTTCAGTAAGACAAACACAACTTTATTCCAGCTCTTGGACCCCTGATTTATTGCCTCTCCTCACAGGAGGGTGAAACACTGGCAGCAGTTACAATAACACAAAGTTTTGGCGTACGACATTTACAAAGGATTGATCCTGCATTGCCTCGACCCATCTCACGTCTTTCCCCCTTTGCCTCTCTTCTCCAAGTGTCCTATGCCATCTGCTCTGTTCCCAAACTCTGAGTAAATCCCACAGCTATGACACGAACAAGTTTTTGTGTGTCTGTTTTAAATATAATGCTCCTCAGTTAAAGCCATATGACTGAGGTAAAACTGTATGATTTGTGCTAGGAAACAACACTATCCAATAGACAGTGAATACTCCTCCAACTCCAATCGTCCTGCAGAAATTAAAAGAAAAAAAAAAGGACTTTTTCCTTCCTCAAGATAAAGTTAAATTGATCTATTTGGATGTAGGTTGTCAGAACTGGTACCACTTCTTATCTTTGTACTTCAACATCATCTAAAAATAAACAAAAAAGGAAAGATATGAATACAATTAACATTTTTGTACAGTGCCACAGACATTCAAAAAATACAATAAAAATGAAAATCAGGTCTTAATTTTTCAATCATCACACAACGTTTTTCACATTGTGCTTAATTTCTTGTATAACCACAAAGGGTAGATTCCATCACAAATCTGCTGCTACCTTTCTGACTCCTGACTGTGAGTGTGACAGCTCAACAAGGACAGGAAAGTTCTGTGGCAGGTAATAAGATAGGCAGGAACCTGAAGAGCCCACAATGAGAATATCTGTTCCTGGAGACTGCTCAGAAGAACCAAAGTGAGATTCCTGAAATTGTTTGTATGTTGTTCGTCTATCTTGCTGATTCTTAAACTTTGGTACTGGTGACTCCTTTACCATAGCAAGCCTTGGAGTGCAACCCATTTAAAGCATTTTAATATATTTAACATGATAATAAATGCTGGAGGCAAAGTGGGATTTGGGGTGGAGGCTAACAGTTTGTGATCTCTTCATGTAATAACCTCGTGACCTCGAGAAGTCCTCGCCCCTCAGTTTGAGAACCCCAATCTGCATTGGGTATGGTGTAAATAGACCATACACATAATGAAAAGTACACTAAAGATACCTGACTCCATAACATGAGTTCCTTTAACAATGGAAACTAACCCTGCAGTATCCACCACAGTACATGCCAGATAGGAATTGGATAGAGTTGAGCTGTACCTATCTGGTGAAGCTGGTGGATTAATAGCAGAATTATTGTCACCTTAACCATTAGGTAAAATGCGATGTTCAATAGAAAGACAAAGGCAGCGTTAACTATTAATCATATAGATTCCCACTTGCACATCTGTTCTCTTTTTCAGTGAATATAAAGTTAATTGCACATCTTACAAACTCTGATGCATGGTGATACACTAAAAGGAATTACCTCATGAGCATGTTTAGAGAAAGAATCAGCACTACTTAGCATAGCAGCTGTTCTTTCGTCCAGTTCTCCTAGTTTCTGCCCTCTTTCATCCAGTGCTATCCTGGCTCGTGCTAGTTCACCAATTACTCCAGATGCTGCTCCTTTAACACCCTCAATACCACCAGGTCCTGGGATATGCTGAGCAAGACTTCTTGATGCCTTTCCAGATGCTGATTCTCCAACTAGATAAAATGTAATTCAAAATAGTTATCCATTTAGTCCTTCCATTTCAATAAAACAACTTACAAATACAATCATTTAGAAATGCTATTAACCTTGCATCACAAAATTACAGTGTGTTTCATTAGCCAAAAGAGGTGCCAAATTATTTTTCACTTAGGACGTGAAAACCTAATGGCAGACCTGATTAAAAATCATACTGGTTAGCTGGTATTTTGATGGTCATTCCATCAGAGAATTTTTTTTTATAATAAATTTAGTTTAAGAAAACAAAATAGTGTCAGATATAAAAAATTACTTGTAATTTCCAGGGCATTATTTTTTAAAATTTCCATTTCAATTTATTGTTACTGGGATTGGAAGAGTCACATTTCTAGTTGCAAGGGTTGTTGCAATATTTGAGTTTTCTGGTCAGATTTTATATTTCCCAAGTGAATGGTTCTCATTCCATTTAACAAGATAGAATTATATCATTGAGTGCTTGTAAAAAGAATGGCATTCATTGAATGGCTTCATTTAGATTACAAGCAGAGCCTATAGTGATTGATGCCTACTGTGAAAACTATCATTCTCAAGACCTTTTCAGAGACTTATATAACTCTTGTCAAATATTTATGCGTCAGGAAAAAGTAAAGCTAAGACATGCTTTTCTCAAAAGCAGCAAACCTGAGTGAAACTAGAGACTTCTGGAGTTATAAAGGAACAAAACAAATCACACCCCTGGACCTTTTTATAGATAAGTCTGGAGCTTCAGTGGACAATGGAAAAAAAGACATGAAATATGGAAATAATGTAAACCCAATATTACAAATACTGTGACCTGGTAAAAATTGTTTTTCCTTAGCTTTATTACAATAGTTTAACAAATGATTATAAAATTATTGTTTATGGTAGGATACTATCTGCAAACATTCTATATGCACCATGCATAAGTAAGAGTGGCAATGTCAACACAAAAGATGTCAGTAAATAAATTATGCTCATAAGTGCATGATAAAGTTAAGATTAATTTAATTTTTAAAATATAGGTGCATGCGGTAATGGTCTTTGATCATACATAAAAAGTAGAAATTTCAGGGAACCTTGATTCAATACAATAAAAACAAACACTTCTGCCTTTGATTACATATGCATTATAAAGAGCTGCCTCGCAAGTAGTTGTACATGATGGAATTAGATTTTTTTAAACACCACCACAACAATCTTTCTCTCCTTAAAATTCTATATGAAAACAGCGGTTAAAGTCTAGTTGGGTTGAAAATTAAAGAACCAGGAGAAAAAAAATCTTGACATAAAAAAAATAAATTTGTCCCACACATTTTTAATTATACAGCCTAGTGTATGTATACTGCAATACAATCTTTAATTTCATGATCATGGCTCCCTCCACTGCCCCCACAGCATTTCTGAATCTTTCAGTGAACAAGGTGAGTGGTCAGACAGGGATATGTAATGAATAAAGCACAGAGAACTCCTGCCTCATTCACCGTAATAGAAGTTAAATGGTGTAAATGAATAAAGAAAAGGTGGTTCTCACCTCAGCCTCATTCAAAGATTATAAATTCAGAATGGAGCACATCATGTAGTCTGATGTCCTATACAACAGTGGTTCTCAAAAAAGGGTTGAGAGATAGATGTGTGCAAGCATTAGACTCGCTAGGTCCAAGGCTGAAACCCTCTGCAGCCTGGGACCCCAAACCACACCATCCAGGGCTGAAGCCAAAGGCTGAGCAGCTCAGTATTGTGGTGCCCCCTGTGGTGTGGGACCCTGGGCAACTGACCTGCTTGCTACTCACTATCGCCCTACAGTGGGAGGTCGAGGGGAGAAACTCTCCCATTGACTTCCCTTATTCCTTGAGACCATGAGGAGTTCCAAGGTTGATGGGAGCATCCTCAACATTCAATTTAGCAGTCCTTACCAGGACCGTTAAATTGATTGGCTTCTGGAGCGTTAATCTTCCCAGAAGTGTAGATATGCCCTATGGATCACATTAGCCCTTGTGGTCAGAGTTGCATTGGGATCTCATGCTCAACTGATTCTCCACTAGGACCTAAGGATGCTAGATACCGTGTATGTCAGTAATCGTGTAGCTGCAAAAATTTTTAGGCGTTACACTGTTACTAAAATACTTCCGGGTGATGGGGCCAGTAGCCAGTGCGCTCCTGGCCCTACTCTCTGAGATCCCCCTGCAACCCTGCGCAGCTGCTTCTGTATCAGAGCAGCAGGGCAGGATGGAAAGAGAAACCAGTCCACAAGGGGAATCGAATTAAACATCAGTTAATCTTTTAAGCAGCTATATGCTAATATCCCTACAGGATCCCCATTATTCCCTCTGCCTAGAGGCAACTTTATCCAGAGAAGAAGCAGTGACTACTTTGTAAATATGGTCTACGTTTTTTGTTTCTAGACTTATAACTTTACATTTAGCCATACTGTTTGTTTGTGCCCAGCTCACCAAGTGATCCAGATCTCTCCATATTGACCTTTCTACTTCGTTATTTAACCTCTCCTCCCCACCCCCAGTATTTCAGTCATCAGTACAGTCAGGTATGGGGCCACATTTGAATGTCAATGATGAATATAAATATGTATTAGATGTTTTATTTATTGCAACATCCAATAAATGAGGCAAAAGGTTCCCTGACTATTTAAATATATTCGGCATGATTTACCCACTTCTCACACATGGAGATACTTTTCAGAATAAAATAAATGAACTTACAGAGTTCTTCTCTGTCGAGTGATTGTGCACCACCTCCAAACAGGCCTTTAAAGAAACCCCTATTTGGGGCTTCTGGTGTTTCTACTGGAGTGAAGAGCTCACCCAACATTTCCTTTGTAATGAAAAAATAATACTGTTAGCAACATCATATTTCCTTATTGTAAGATTCTCATAAAAACACAAGATTACTCTAGTACATTTTTCACTTTCAGCATCTACCTTCAGGGTTTGCAATTCATCAAGTTCACACTAGGATAAAACTTTGCTGCAGCTATTCAGAACAATTTTATATCCTATGTTTGGCAGCACACCTCAATAGAAGCCAAGAACAGATCAGGCAACTCTTCTAAGTTATGTGATATCTAATAGTTTGAACTTGTAATAGACGAGTACTTGAAAAGAAATATTTCAGACTAGCCATGTTTTCAGTTGAGGAAAGACTTGGGCAACACTAACTCTCGCGCGGAAACTACATTTGTAACATTAACCTGTCTAGTTTATGTTCACTGTAGTCCAATCTATCCTGTCTAATTTTTAAATATTGGATAATTTCAAGACCTCATGTGTTTTCCATAGCTTCTCATACACAAATCTGTGGCTATCCAACATGTCATTTTGGTTCCATGTCTTAATTATATAATGAGCTCCCTTAAATTTTTTTTCTGACTTCCAATATGCAAAGCATATAAATTCAAGACCATGTAAATCAAGTCCAAGTAGAACAAACAGTGAGCTCCTTTTCTTCTGAATTTCAGCAGTGACTGAAAAGCCATCTCAATTCTGGAATTTTTAAAATTAGAAAACAGTATGATGGGCAGCGGATAGTCAAGGATTCACTTTTTGGAATTTGTGGGGTCAAATCCTGGCCTCACTGAAGTTAATGAGAGAATTTTGCTATCAACTTCAATAAGGCCAAGATTTTGCCCCTATTGTGTTACTTGAAAATTCCTGCAAAGTGTAATCCTTTCAGGGACACTTTTCATTTGGCTATTTCACTCAGTGGCTCATTCACATGGAAAAGAACTGATCCATCAGCATGAGAACAATAGTTCCCCTGAACTTAATGCTAAAATAGATGCATAGAGCCTGCAAAATGATGTACAATCCACATATTCCTGATAGATGTTGGAGAACAGACTTGTTATTTCTAACCCAGAGTATCTGTTTCTACACAAGGGTGGGCAAGAGAAGGCCAGTAGTCTGAATCTGACCCACCAAGCCACTGGATCCGGCTTTAGGGCTGTTGCTACACTTCATAGGTGAAAGTGCTGCATGGAGCCAGGGGTCAGTTGGGGACTCCCTGCTGATCCTGGGCTCCATGCGGTGCTGCCATTTTTAAATGCTTTGGGAAGCCCATCATCAAGCTCCTTGTGGCATTTTAAAGAGGCAGCACCCCATAGAGCTTGGGATCAGCTGGGAACTCCCCTGCTACTTTGAAACGCCGCGTGCAGCCTAGGGACACCTCACCTGGCCCTGGGGCTGCACGTGGCGTTTCAAAGTGGCATCACTGTGTGGAGGCTGAGGTCTAGCCCCAGTCTCCACATGGCGCTCCGCTTTGAAGTACTCCCTCCTCTTTCAGGCAGCAAGGGCAGGGGGAAGCAGCTAGTCAACTAGTCCTTCACATCCCTAATCCAGCCTGAAGCCACCTCACTAAGACCCTTAGGTACAGAGCAGCTGCAGTTGCTTTAAAGCAATTATCAGTTAAACTTCCACTATCTTCAAAAGGAGCGGAGTTAGGGCAGTGCTGATTGCTTTTGAAAATAGCACCTGAGATGCTTCTAAGATATTTACAACCTACTTCACAAGACAGCCAGCACACACACTGAAGAGTACACCATATGCAACACATCCCAGTATTTAATGGTCAGTTCCATTCTTCTAAGAATTATAAAGCCAGAACAGATGACTAAGTAGACTAAGAATCAAGCTTGTACGCATAGTACTTTTCCAAAAAATTTTGCAACACGTTGCTTGTTGCACTTGCACTTTCCACAGTTCCTGCACTGGGGTAATTCTTCCCTCCCCAGAACTGGTGCTTCTAGAGACCTCTTATACTGCATTGGGTCTTTTATGAGACTCTCACATTTAGCCTCTGAAATTTCTACAACATAATAGGTCAATCAAAATGCCTTGAGTTTGTGCTTCCTTCCTACATGACTAACTACTACAATTTTGACTGGAGGAATTTTGAAGCCCTTAACTGCAAGAATTATCAAGTTAGTTTCATAGGGAACACAAAAGAAAAAGGAAAAGGACAAGACTGCTCCAGAGATGTACAAGGGATGTATCACACCACAATTGGGAGAAACAGAAATGAAGCACTAGATAACATGATGTGTTATGTACTGTAAAGCTCTCCAGTGCACCATAGTTTTTTCCAGAAGGGGTTTTAATCCACCATGCCATTATCAAAAACTAAGAGCTGGACCCGGGAGAGGATACCTATTTTTGAAGAAACAACAATATTATTTTTAATCTTTACCTGTAGATTTTCACAAGTTTCTTGACTGTAGGTAATTCTCTGGATTTCTGTAGGTGAGACAAGATACAAGGCCTGTCCATTGTTGGTGAAGCAGAAGGTTCTGGCTATCCGCATGTTGGTAAGTGGCAGGTAATAAACATCCAACAGCGGCCTTAAACTTGGCAAACTTAAGAAGAGAATTAAAAGCTCACGTAAGTTATGAAGGATTATATTATTCAATTTCTCAGCCCATATTTGTGAACTATAATACACTTTTCCTCCTACCCTTCTTAATTACATTACTAGCACTCCTGCAGTAGCCTGGTATCACATAAGTAAAGGTCAGTGGGGCCATGAAACCATAGTGATGACAAACACAAAATATAATGAACCAACTGGTTTCCTTGTATTTGGCCTATCCACCTCATCTTCCACTCCCCACCTCCTGGACTGGAAGCACAAGTCTATTGCCTAAAATTTAAAGTATCATTGTACAATTAATTTCTAACACAAAATGTTACTGTCCATATTGCATGTGCATATTAATACACACACACACACTCCCCTTTTAAATCCATGCCATAAAATCAAGCTGTTATTTTTAGAAGTAGAGTTTCAATATAATTGCCTATTGCACTGTGTAATTTTTTTTAAAGAGCATTTACTCCATTCATAGGGAAATGAATATGGACATTTCTGTCAAAAAGAAGATTTCTACTATCTGTGAGTGAACTAGTCTCCTCCATTCCCTAATTTGCTTGGGTCACTCACTCCCATCTTAGCAATGGATATTAAACAAAGCAATGAATTGGGTATACTCTGTGTGAGGAATTTAGTTTGCTTCAAATGAAATGGAAAGAACTTTTAACCTAGAGAAGGTTTTGCCAGGGACACGGATAGGAGGAAAAATATGCTGATAACATGCCCAGTAAGATGGAACTCCATCACTACTTTGAAAATAGCTATAACACCAACTTATCCTTGGAAAGTTTGGACTAGGGAGACCAGTTACTAGAGTCTGAATTTCATGCACTCTGCTACCAGGCCATTGTCCAAGATGTCACTTGCTGGCTCTTGCATATGTTCTTCACTAGACCAGAAGTTCCAGATCCTGTCCTGAGCCAAGAAGTTAAATCATATCTGGCTGGATTCCTATATATTCCATTTCATTGCTAGGGGTAAGTTGGGCATTGGGTAGTTTATAATTCAGCAGTAAAAGATTGCTTCCATAGTGGAGTCATTGAATAGCCATTTGTTCAAGTAGGAAAACATATACACTATCAGCCTGTGAAAACTGAGTTGTGTTATTGCTGAGCATTTTGTACAGCCACTGGCTTTAATTCTAATCCCATAGACAACTGAAAATTGATAGTACTCATCACATACAAGATGGAGACACTCAATTTTTTACCTGAATTTCTATTTGCATGCAAGTGTCTACAGGTCCAGAGAACATTGCTACTCTTCTGCCTCTAAAGGAGAATGAAGGCTCCCTGGGTGATCATCTAAAACTTTGATCAGTCATCTATTTAGGTCATTACCATTAACTTCAGTTGCCAACACCTGGATGACAGTGGATTCAACCTATGATGGTGTCCAGCTTTCCGGAACATGCAGGACATTTTGGTGGTGAAGCTAGGCCACTGATCCTAAGGTAAACTGGGTTTCTGTTGACAAAGGCAGTGCCAACACCGAGTTTTCATTTCCATGATTAGCAATCAAAACTGACTCAGCTTTTTATTCTTTGAAGACTTCTCTTTCAAAGCACTCTGATTGGCATTCTGACAGATGAGGTACCTCAAGGAGCAATCTGAGGCATAACAGTGAGTGTGTACAGGGATGTGTAGATTCAGAATGCTCCTGCATAGCATATTTAAATTCCCAAGGATATAGGACATTTGCTGAAGTAATTATATCTTTCTGATGCATCATCCCTTGAAACTGATGAGTGGCCTTCCTAAAAAATCAAACACTCCCTGAAAAAAATCAATAGCTTTGGAAACAAACAGGATTAGAGTCCTTGGAAGAGACTCTAAAGCAACAGCTGTTGAAATTACAAAGCAAAATTAATGAGGAAGAACACTGAAATGCCAAGCAAAAACACCAAAGTGCCATGTCAGTGGTGTCATTGACTAGAGCATTCAATACGGAAACTAGAAGTTGGAGCACAGAAACAAAGATTGAGCTTTGAAAAAGCCAGAAACTGGCATGTTAGTGGTGTTTCCAGACCTGTAGTGGAGAAAGTTTCAGAAAAGCTAACTAAATAACGAAAAGTTAGACCTGCCTGGAAAGCAAAGGGGAGAAAAAGAAATGATACACACCACCACCAAAATGAGACATGAAGAAAGAGTTGAAGTGGTGATTGGAAGACTGCAGCACCCAAGGGATGCTCCTGTGTTGACTATGGTCAAGAATGAACAAAATTTAAGATCGGAAAGGCAGTGGATAAGCTGGTATACGTAGTGATCAGTAACAGGATGGTTTGTTTACTTAATGGCTCTTCAGCCATGGAGCCTCCTGGCTCCCAGTGGCTCCAGTTTGCCATTTGCAGTCAAGGGGAGTCACGGGAAGCCCAAGTTTCACCTCACTTTAAAATTACTTGCTTACAAAAACAGACATAAAATACAAAAATGTGACAACACACTATTACCGAAAAATGCTTACTTTCTAATTTTCAGCATATAATTATAAAATCAATTGACTAGAATATAAATAATGTACTTACATTTTGTACTTCCATTTCAAACATGTAAATACAATATTTCTATTCCAGTCAATTTATGATTCTTGAACCTGTTTTTCATTATGAGCCTTATCTGAAGCCACGCCCACAGCAACAGGGCTGAAGCATATCACCTAGATCTGCGGGAATGCCTGTGGTGTGGGGCCCCAGGAAACTGTCCTGTTTGTCACCTCCTAATGCCAGTCCTACACCTATGATCCCTCTAAACCCATCCTGGGATCTACAGGGGGCTGCAACCCCCAGACTAAGTATCACTCATCTAGATGAGTTGTAAGATCACAGAGGAGTAGCCGTGTTAGTCTAACTAAAAAAACCTTAAACAACAATAGTCTGGTAGCACCTTAGAGACTAACAAAAATATATAAATAGTATCATGTGCTTTCATGGGCACAATCCACTTGCTCAGATGACAAATATGGAGCAAGGGGCCTCAATGCTCCATATTTGTCATCTGAAGAAGTGGGTTGTGCCCACAAAAGCTCATGTCATAAAAAATTTAATCGTGACTAATTGCGTGCAACTCCCCTTTGAAACGCCGCAGTGGTGTTTCCAAGGGGCAGCGCTGCATGGAGCCCGGGATCAGCTGGAGTGCCCACCTGACTCCGGGCTCCATGCAGCGCTGCCTCTTGGAAGTGCCGCGGTGGCGTTTCCTAGGTGAAGCCAAGGGTTAGCTGGAGTTCCCAGCTGATCCCGGGCTCCATGCAGTGCTGCCTCTTTAAGGTGCTGGAGTGGCACTTCAAAGGGGCAGAGCAAGTGGTGCTGGGGGATCAGCTGGGGACTCCAGCTGATTCTCGGCTCCACTTGCGCTGCCCCTTTAAAGCACCAAATCGGCACTTTAAAAAAGGGGCAGTGCATTAGGAGCAGGGGATCATCTGGGAACTGATCCCTGGCTCTGCATTGCAAAGCGGAATGGCACTTCAAAGGGGCTTCGCAACAATGGAGCCGGGGATCAGGCTCCGCTTGTGCTGCCCATCTGAAGTGCTGGAGCAGCACTTCAAAGAGGCAGTGCAGCATTTACGCCTGTGATTAACACATTATTTTTTTTAACGCATTAATTCTGTCCTGTGTTAATACAACATCCCTAATTTATATATTTTTGTTAGTCTCTAAGGTGTATAGGACCATAGTAGTTTTTTAAAAGTTTTTCTAGATTAGTTGAATAAGCCCAAGAAGACCGCTGTGCATATCCAGAGGTACGCATACCCTTGTCTGAGGACCACTAACTTTCACTACATTTTAATTTATTTCAGCTAAAATTTTCTATGCCAGATGTCTGCTTTACACTGTGTTTTGCTTTTTTATTTTTTAAATTATTTCAGCCAAAATAGTTAAAGTTTCTGAGAATAAGCCTATGGGAAATTATTATTCTTTTCCCATGTTAAGATATTCTGACAACTATCTCTTGAGTATGTTCGAACTGAGGCCGGAGCTGTAATTTCCAGCTTAGGCAGACATACCCACATTAGCTCTGATCAAGTTGGCATACTAAAAATTGTAGTGCAGCCATGGCTGCTCACACAGCAGGATGAGCTATCAACCGCAAGTATGTATCTAGGGTCTCAGATAGGATTGCACTCAGGATAGCTAACCCAACCTGTTGTCTGTTCAGCTGTGCATCATACCCTTTTATTTTTATTACTAGCTCAATTAACTAGCATGGGTATGTCTTACTGAGATAGGAATTACATGTACAGATCCACTGTAGATGTACCCTTTGAGACACTCTAGTGCCTAGCACAGACTCTAGCACAATGGGCCTCTCTCTTCGTTGGCTTTTATGCACTTCTGTAATAAATCTGATTATGAATAATTATATACTATTAAAATTTACCCCAAACCAGCCAATTTATAAGCCTTTAAAATTTGTCACACATGCTTTGCAGAGATATGTAAGACCTTTGCACTAAGATCTACTGAGATTTCATCAGTTTCAAGCAGAACTTTCCCCACAATTTAAATTGCCAGTGGCCAGGCTGTGCCTGGGACAAGGCACTAGAAATGAGAGCTTCTGAGTTTGTCTCTCATGTACACTTAATGCATTCACCTGCCTGGGCCCTATAGCAGAAGTTTGCCCATGAGGAAAAAAATAAGGGATTGGAAGTGACTTGCTGTATGTATACTGACATCAGTAACTTCACCAAATACGTGTTTAAAGACTGATTCATAGCGCATACATACAAGGAGCTAAATTAAAGCTGCAAGAGCTACTTTAATTCTGGCATTTTCTAGCTTGAGCACTTGACTTTGCAACTTTAATAATGTTCATTTGGCATGTGTATGTATGGATATTCCACGTTTCTGCAAGCATTGTAGGGAAGAAAGTAATTCCTGAGGCTATTCAAGCAAAAAAATCTATCGATAAAAAAAGTGAACCAATGGGATAGGGGGAGAAAGGATATAAAAAAAATCCACAAAAGAAAATATGAGCAAGAAAGACCACCAGTTTTGGCTTTCAGCATGTGGTGTTTTAACACAACTTTTATAACAATTAAATTAATAATATCAGCAATGTATTTTGTGTGTGAAAACAAACACCACAAGTTTAGAATTTAATTTAGCCTATGTTAAGTCTACGTTATTTGTTAGCGATTTACCTTAACTAGAGCTTAAACCTAATTTGTACAAGAACAAATTTCAAGTACAGTATTGTCCAGCTGCCAAATTGCTCCCACTCCTAAGATGGTGTTATTTTTACAGGTTTATCATCATCAGTGAATATATATTTATTTTTTTTTCCTGTGGATTGAGGAAACAACATCATTGGGGGACAGTGTAGGAGGTTGTAGGGGATAATAATTTTTTCTTTTTAATGTTTAAATCATGATGAAATAGCTCTTACCTGAAAGTCATAATATGTCCATTGGCACAGAAACATGCAAGGCAGACACTATTACTCAATGCCACTATATCTCCACGAAGAACAAAAGATGTCTCTGTTATGTTTTGTTTATGAACACAGTTCTGTGATGGCAGTGAGATAACTTTTGCTTGCTTTTCAGAACATATCACGGCATATTGGTTTTCACTGATTTCCTGAGAGGAGGAGGAGGGAGATACGGAGACAGGCCGCCGTTTTTTCAATTTATCCTTTTCATCTTTGTCTTCAGGGACATTATGTTCTCTCCAGGGCTCATATGCTGGTGGAATTAAAGATCCTGTGGTGTCCAGAAAAGCCATTCTCAAAATTGCCCCTTTTAGCCTCAGAATGGTCCCTACGATATAGAATTTGACATGATAAATAATTCTCTTGAATTAGTTTCCAACTACATACTGTTTTTTTTAATTAGCAAACAAAAGCAGTATTCCCAAACAAAAACTTCAGAACTCCCTTTTGGTTTTTCTACACTAAAACTTCAATTGGCCAAAATTTTAGGCCTTAGTTAGAGCATGGGCTTAATTCTAAATGTGTGAATATGGACCATAGACTACAGTGGAAATTAAGCATATTCTTGAAATTAAGGATAGGACTCTTCCTAAACAGGGATGCTTTCTTGAATTAGAGAGACCAATAAGAATTTGCAAAGGCACAGCTGAGGCTTTCAGAGGCCCACCAAGTGGAACTTATATGTATTAAATTTAGATGTTAACATTCACAGCTTTTCTGTCTTTTGCTCATAGGCATTAATACTTTCCTAAACTTAGCATCAATAAATTGTACACTGTGTTTAATATATATGCTAAAATGTGCTTAATTAAATAAATGTGTAACTGCTGAACATTTCAGCAGTTACACATATACATGTGTGTAGGGGAGGTGCGTACGGGAGTTTAAAAAGCTGGCTCCCCACATGCACTGGGACACTGTCTGTAACCATGAAGGTTAACCAATGAGCCCAGGCTCCTCAGTTAACCATGTACACGGTTACACTTTCACACCCCAAATCTTTAATACCATCGATGGTGAATACTATTAATGGTCAGAAGCATCAGCCTAGGTTTTCCTTTTTGAATTAGGCATGTTTAGGTGTAAATAAGCAGGCTGTCTTGCATCTTCCCTTGTTGACTTTGTACAATTGATTAGGGGATTAAAGCAGAAAGTCTATTTAGCAAGGAAGAGGATTTTCACCCACCATTGTTAAATGAATTGCTGCATCCTGAATGTGTTAAAATTGAGGAATCCTTTTGCTGAGCTGCTTCTTTTCTCTAGGGTCATTTTTTGTAACATATAGTTAAATACATTTTGATTTGCCAGCTACAGATGAAAGCTTATTTAGGTTAACATTTTCCTTTTAGATCTAGCAGCTGACACTGTATTTCATCTACATCTTCATGAACTGGAAGAGTGCTGACCAGCACCTGGTGATTAAGGGGTTAACTCAGGTACCTAGCAAAGGTGTTGGCCAGGGGGCCGAGAGAGCCAATCGAGATAGAGGCTTGAAATTTGAATTGGATATAGATTCCCTGCCTGCTTTCTTTGAGTGGGAGAGTTAAGACCAGGAGTTAAGATACACAGAATGACTTAAACCCAGGCAGGACTGTCATGCCTCTCTCTCTCCCCCACCCCGCCACAGAATTCAGGGCATGGAAGCAGACTGAACAAGAGAAAATTTGAAGCGAGTACCAGGGAAATGTGAGTTCAGTCGCGTTCAGGGTAAATTTTCTTTGTTTTGTGGTTTGGTTTGAACTGCTCTGTGTGTATCTATGCCTCCCCTCCCCTTTTACCATCTAAGCAGTGTGCCAGAGAAGTTCTCTATTTTTTTAAATTGTTTTCCTCAGTTGCACTAACGTCTAGCAACCAAGTATGCTTTATCAAGTTTATCTTTTGTTTTGTAATAAAAATCACTTCTTTTAAGGTGATGATTTGATTCTTGTGTCCTAGAAGGTCTGTCTATGAGTATCTGCATGCCTCTGACTGAGAGGTCAGCTGCCAGAGACTGCAACTTGTTTTTCTTTTTCAAGCTCTTTTGGAGGCAAAAGAGCTTGGGGTACCCCTGGGAGTGGTTTCAAGTGTTCACCCCTGGTTTTTTTAGGGATCAAAAAGCACTTGATGGTGGTGGTGAAATTTCCAAAATCTGTGTATTAGGATTTTGAGGGGAAGTTTTTGTAACCAGTGCTTGTAGAGGCAAGGTTTTGAAGTTCTCTTGTGGGCCCTCACCTTCTGCATTCTTAGTGCCAGAGTGGGGAACAGCCTTGACAAGCCTGGTCAATGTTACAAAATGTGGTTCTCTCATTTGATTGCCAAAATTATGTACCTGAATAGGGGCTTAATGCATTGTAGCAATCAACATAGGCTAGTCACATTCAGCACTGTACATACTAAATCATATTCACCATAACATGCTTATTGACAGAAGTCTTCAGGCACATTTGTGTGTAACTATCATTAAATCATCTGTGTTTTTGGAGAGAAAGGACCATGTTAACTTGAAAAGGTATGACAGGATGTCACGTTACTGGACTTTAAGGGGAGCAGCTAGATCACTGCTGCGCCCACGGGTGTGAGGGGGAATGTTTGCCCCAAAGTCTATACAAAGTGGTCCATGTGAGGTGTCAAATGAAAGCTTATGTTTTACTGATTCTATGTATGCTATTTATGTACTTGTATGATGTCTGTGTGTGGAGTTATGATTATGGACTCTGTGCTTATACTGGGAATGTTCTAGGCCTGAGACAGAGCAATGGGCTCTGAACTGCCTGTTGTAAAGAGCAATTGTTCAGTCAATGACTATGCTAATTGGTGAGGCTTGAGGAACAATGGCTCTCAAGGTGCCCAATATATGCCTGAGGAATGTGTCTGGAATCTGCAAATCAGCCAATAGCATGGCTGCTGACATGGTACACAGGGATAGGTCACGTGACCCACTCCAGCTTGGAAGGTACCAGGGATGGATATAAAGTGCCATGAAGCTGCCTGAGGAATGTGTCTGGAATCTGCAAATCAGCCAATAGCATGGCTGCTGACATGGTACACAGGGATAGGTCACGTGACCCACTCCAGCTTGGAAGGTACCAGGGATGGATATAAAGTGCCATGAAGCAAACTCCATCTTGTCTTCAATTCTGCCACTGATCCCAGATGCAGCCTTGTGAGGGACAGTGAACTGGGAAGGATTGTTGACCCATCCTGACATAGGATGTACACCAGAGACTTTTAAGCTAGCCGCTTATAACATCTCTGCTGAGAGCCTGTATCAAGAATTTGATGATTGGTGCATATAATGTATTTTCTTTAACAACCTTACTCTCCACCTTTTCTTTCTTTTATAATTAGCCTTTAGATTCTAAAACAGTGGTCCCCAACACGGTGCCTGCTGGTGTCATGGCGCCCGCCAGGGCATTTATGTGCACCCGCCTAGTGACCAGGGCTGGCCTGAGCCATTATTTAGCCCCGGGTGCATGCGCGGCCCCCATCCCCGGGCATGTGGTGCATGTGCAGCCACCGCCCCCGGGTTCATGGCCCCGTCCCCGGGTGCCCGGCATCCCCAAAAGGTTGGGGACCACTGTTCTAAAGGATTGGCCCAGCATGATCTTGTGGGTAAGATCCAAAGTGTAAATTGAGTTGGAACTATGGCTGGTCTTTTGGGACTGGGAGAACCCGGTCGGAGTAGGTGAGATTGGATTCTATAACCCCTCACCTGTGTGTTAGGCCGGGGGCTGACTGTGGCACCTGGAGAGCTGAGGTGTGAGAGGGGTTTTGCTCGTGAGGCTTCCTGCTGGCCAGATTGGCAGCTGAAGTGCTTGGTGTGACTAGTTTGTGGCCTATTTGGGAAGGGCCTCCAGTCAGGGGCTGTAAGGAACCCTAGTGTGGAGCAATTCACCCTGAGCAGATGTCCTCAGCAGTGCCCACAGCAACTTCTAGTCTTTTTTTGTGGTTGGCAAATCTAATATGAACTTTATTGAGAGCAACATAAATAAAAAGTTTGTAGCATCTAACAAAATTCTTCTCTTGATGTATCCCTCTATTATATTGTTAACTCTACATGACTTGCAGTAGAGTTACTCAAATGGCATCCTTTCTGCACAAACAGGAGTCCATTTACCTGATATTCCTAAACCAGGCGGTATACTTGGAGTTCAGACCTAAGTGATTTGCAAAATTGCTAATCAGGTTCTCACTAACACAACCGACATAGCAACTTTGTAGAATATTAAAACACTGCACTGTAGTGAACTAAACAGTGAACACTGTACGAATATTTACAAATATTGCATAGTTGAGAAATAACAAAATCACATTTAAAACCCATCAAGAATCCACATTACATAGCAAGTCTCCTGCCTTTTACGTACCACTGGGAGAAACAATTACTGGCTGAAGAAGTCTTTGCTCTCCTCCTGGGGGTAAATTCAGTGCAATGACTAGCACTGTACCCAAAGTAGTCCCAACCCATAAACATGGAGAAGGTGATGTATCTGCTTTCCGTGTGAAAGTCTCACAGAAATGAAGAGCAGAAATTGCTTCTCGGGATTCCTTATCAATGCTAGTTACACTGGAGCTTCGGGATCGACTGAAGGAGTTGTCTCTGACATCTGAAACAAGTTTATGTTAATAAAAAAAATTGCAAAATGCAACAAAGTCTCCAAACGAACTATAGTTAGAATTTTTAGCATGTTCTGTGCTAAAATAGTTCTTTAAAAAAATCAAACAATTTTTACTACATACATTACTTCCTTTTGCTAAATATTTCCCTAATATTTCCCCTCCTGTCCTCTGACCCTATTTTCCATGCTGCATTCTAATTGCAACACTCTCTTCAACTGTGGACTACACCAATAGATAATTGCCCTGGATGGCCATTGTTTACGTTCATCTTTTGCTTGAGATAAAGGACAGCAGTGATTTATGAAACAATAAACCTTTCATTATTCTAGCAAGAGACAAATGTCTCATTTCAAGCTTTAAAGAGCAACCAGATTCCATGGTGATATAAATCCTATAGCTTGTCATGTTCTCCAACTTTAGGATATAATGAATGAGGAGTCTGACAAGCCTGAACTTCTGGCATATGTCACTTAAAAAGACTTAAAAAAAACCCGGCGTTCAAAAACTAACTGGGTAGCTGAAGATTTTCTTCTGGAATGCTATAAAACAGTGACATTACTTTTCAGGCAGTCATCCCATCATTAAAAAAGGATGAGCACAAAATACAGGAGAAGGAATTCCAACTAGGAGCACAAAATATTTGTTTTAAATGAATTCAAAGTTATTGTGAAACTCTTGAAAAATATAAGAGGTACAGTAAAGTTAGTCTGTATCTGCAATAGTAACAAGAGTCCTGTGACATCTTAATGACCAACAGATTTATTTGGGCATTGCATTCATGGCAAAACCCCACTTTGTTAGATACATTTGCTAAAGTGGGATTTTGTAAAAAAATTTATGCCCAAATAAATCTGTTGATCATTAAGATGCCATAGGACTCCTCATTCCTTAACAGGATATTACAATGGAAATGCTGTCAATATTCAAGTCTGCATATATAACTGCTACTAGGCAGATATGAACCCGGGACCTCTGGAGCTTAGCATAGAAGCCTCTACCCTCTGAGCTAAAAGCCAGCTGCCTCTCACCACTGCATGGGATGGTGAACCACACTAGGTATGTGGGTTACACATCTATTTTCAGCTGCACATATTGTAAGTAACGGGGGTGGGGCGGGGCGGGGGAGTGGAAGGTCGACATTTTTAGAGATTCTCTTTTGTACTCAAGCATCAATGTGAATTCCTGACCCATCATTCCTCTTCAGCTTCATCTCCTAATGCTAATGGATAAAAGGCAAACACATTTTATCACTGAAAATATGGTATAATTTACATCACATCTTTGTTTAGTCTGGATTATGCTGTTTTCAAGACCTCATTGGTGACTCTATGCATGAGCAGGATTGAGCTTTAACCACAGAATTTACCTACGTAATATATTCATGAAGGCATTTCTGCACAGCATAATGAACCATTTCATGAATGGGCTAGTTTTTCCCACAGACAGAAAATCGCCTAGGTTAATTGGACTTTATTTGAAAAGTTACTGCTTTGTGCATTATAGAACTTGAAGGGAATATGGAACAGAAATATGTAGTAATAATAATAATAACTACAATTAATTTGTTCTAACTTCAGCTACTGACCCTAGAACCCTCTTAAAAAAGAAGCTTGTTTAGATTTTAATATTATTGGCAAAAAAAACAAATAAATACATTTAAATATCTGTTACACACAAATTAATAATTTGGGGACATGATTGGCTACAGATAATGTTTTCTGTTATTAACAAGTACCTTTGAAAATCAGTTTAAAAAGAAGTCAGAAAACCAAATTTATAAAAGTACCTAATTATACTGTCTCCAAGTGAGTTTCACATTGAAGATCAAATTGACTTGACCCATTACCAAGAGTGAGAGATGCTAACCAAAAGTGACTGACTTTTGATTTGCATATACCTTTCCTTTGTGCATTATGTAAAAACCATCTAGTTCCATTTTCTAAGCAAAATAGGATTGTTGCAAAAGATATAAAATTGAGTCTACATTTGTGGATTTTATTTTCAAGTAAAATGCAACTTAATGTTCTGAAAACTATGCTTATTTTAAGAGCTGCTTTAATTATGCTATGGAACAATCATTTGTGTTTCTAAACTTTAATAAACAAGCAGTACAACTACAATGTTTACTTGTGTTTCTAAACGTTAATAAAAACAACAGTAGAACTAGAATGTTGACTTTGAAATTACTGTAATGTGTCTTAAGAAACCAAACTTAAAGTACCATGTTCTTAGAGACTTGGTTCCCCAACATGCAAACAGTTATAACATTCACTTAGCTTTACATGTGTTAATAGCCTGGTTGTAGTTAACTCAAAGTGTAATTGTTTTCAGAATGGGACCTTAATTAAAATCTTCTAAGAAGTCTGTACAACTTCATTTTCCATTTTTTCCCTATTATGTTTGTTTGGAACCACATGATTTTTTCCCAGTAATATTCCTGACATTGTCAGGTAACTAACATAACAGGAACTACAACAGCCTCCCAAAATTCAGATAAAAATTTAACAACTATGCACAAATCTATGTCCTTACAATTGGATGGCCACAAATGAGATTTTACCAGTCTATTTTAACACAAATACTTGCAGTCTTGTTTGGAGCTTAAGTTTTTCAAGCCTACATTATAGGTCACTTCAGTTTAGGGGAATGATAATGGAAAGGCATATCACAATTTAGTTTACCAATATATACAGATTGTTCAAAAGTTCAGACAGAAATACAGTGGCCAGTTCATACTTTGCTGTTCTTCTGATTATGCAGGATTCTTACTTTTTTGGAAATTTACTCTTTCTATAAAACATAATTGCAATATGGACCAGCCTTTATTCTTGAACTTACCTAAATCAGGCTTTAGTTCGGTTGGCAAACTTAACTTTCTGGACATCTTTGCTGAAAAATAAAATACATCTTTAAAAGAAATATGAAGTGGTGGCCTTTTATTAACAGACTGCCATTTTCCAAAGATTTAACACATCACAATTTATTATAGTGAATTTCAGAGTTTAGCAGTTAAACCAAATTCTGCATGACTGAAACTTGTGTTAATCAGTTGGGTCTGACTAATTCCCCATATCCAAAACCCCATTAACTTTTGGGATGGAGAATTGAAACAGACTTAAATTTTGAAGCTTGTGCCATCCTTAAGATGTAGCCTGAAACTTGCCAAAAATGCAAGCAAAATCCACTGACTTCTGTCTTTGTTAAAACCCCCAGTTTTAAGCAAAACTGATGTGGGATAATGTTGTATAAAGTCCTAACAACTAAAACAGAGTTCACACAAAGAAAGCCCTGTGCATGCAAACAGCTGAGTTTTTCACATAATTTTTGTGTACACCAATGTTCTTTAGATATCATCATCTTGACATATATAAAAAGGCAGAAAATGTAATTTATAATTATACCACATTAAGATAAAAGATTTTACAATTATGTATAATTTTTTAAAAAGCTATGTTAAATATTCTATGGATATACAGAAACAACAAGCAATATATTGTCTATATACACTATGCACAAAGTTTTCTTAGGTAAAATATATTAGAGAAGGGCCATTGTGAAACAGTTTTGTGGATTAGTACGTTAAAAAGGAAAACATGATGCACTACAATTTATTCATTTATTTAAATCATTTATTTTAGTCTTAATAATATTAATAGGTAGTCTTGGATACTTTAATTCGCTTTTGCTCTTTGGGGTGAAGAGACACTCCCTTCCTATAGGAGAAGAGGAATTCCAAGTGACAAGAGCTACGTTAACAAACATATTATAGTCTATTTTGTTTTAAAAAAGTAATTTGCTCCTATCAAAAAGAGATCTCAATATAGCATGCTCTATTTAAAATGGTGTTTTGCCCACTTAAGAGCAAAAAGTGGAATGGATTATAAGAAGTAATCTATTAACAAGGTTCTACTGTGGGAGTGAAAAATATAGCTAGATAATTCATTTAAATTTGGACACACTTTATGTCAGTCACATTAAATAAAGGTTTGAAAATATGCCAGTCACATTAAATACAGATTTAGATACTGTACATTTAAGGAAAACCTAACAGTCCTAAAAAATACCCCTTATAGATGTCTTTAAATTACTTTAGTTATGATTCTCTTCTAACTGCAAGCATAGCTAACAATTAGGATCACATTGTGGGTTAACTTTTAGAAGACACGGTAATTTTTTAAAGTTTTTAGGATATTAAAAAATACAGAACAAAGTAATAAAAAGGGGCAGCCAGTTGTGACAGGTGAAGTGCCCAAATCCTCAACTTGTCTCAAATTCTGACAGCCATTCACACACATTATCGTCATATGTAACACGATTTAAAAGTCTATAACCACAAAGACTGTAAAACCTTAAACAAAATACAGAGCAACTAAAAGAGCCATCAGTTCCATACATCGTAAATAAATGTATCTTCAAAAAGTTTCTACTAAAGAAATAAGACAATCATTAATTCTCTCACATCACCACATGCAATTAAACGGACAGATTTTTAAAACTCCTCATTTAGGGATGCACGGAGCTACATCAGAAAGGTGTGGTTTCAGCACAGGACTGAGACTCAGGAGATTAGGATTTAATTTTCAGCTTCATGTGTGACCTTTGGTAAATCACTTAAGGCTTGACTCCACTAGCTGGCGTGTACATTCTAATACACACTAGCATGTCATGCACTAACTGGTATGTGTGTACCCTGCTGGGAGGCACTACTAGGACAGACTATGCACATAGATGGGATACCCCCAGGGTTTGATTGTGCTGGGATAATAGGACAAGTGTGATTGTTTCATATGAAATAGAAAGGGAGGGGTGTGATAACAGAAAAGTTATATTCATCCATGACCACGGGGGGGAAGCAAGCACCCAGTGAGCAGTGGCTGGCTGTCTTGGCCCACCCTGCACCCCAGGGAGAAGCTTCTGGGTGGCCGGGTTGTGCAGCCCAGCCCCGGGGAAAATCAGCACGTGGTCATGGTGCACAGTCCCACCCAGTTCTTCAGGAGAAGCTGGTAGGTATGAGCCACCCCCTTTGCCCCAAGGCAGCCCTGGGAAGAAGCCAGTGGGCAGGATGCATGACTTTCCTCTATCTAGGTAAAGCCAGTGGGTGGGAAATAAGTCCCTCTCATCCTGTGCTGGCCCGAGGGAGATGCTGGCAGGTGGGATGCACACCCATCAGACCAGGGAGAAGTCAACAATTGGGGTGCACATGCTACCTCACCCTGGGCAGGCCCCAGGGAGAAGCTGGTGAGCAGGGTGCATTCCCTCCCCACCCCAAGTCAATCCACTTGAGAACCTGGCAGGTGGAGTGCACACTCCCCCCTCTGTTCTGGCCTGGCTCCAGGGGGAAGCTGGATGGCAGGGTGCTGCCCCCGGACAGCCACAGGGTAATGCCGCGTAAGTCTTCTAACATATTTGACAAAGGAAAATTATTTGTTTTGCAATAGATACATAAAATTGGTAACAATAGATGGCACACATTTTACAAATACCCCAATCCTTATTTAACTGATCACAATTCATTTTGAAAGAATAAAGTGATAAAACATGCAACTATTAACATCAAATAATGAATGACATGACAGTGACATTGTACAATGTGACAGAGATACTGAAGAGATTAAAATAGCACCATAAGATCACAAAACAGCACCACAGAATAAACATGCCACATATAATGTACAGTAAATGGTAATGTACAAAAGTATTTTTGATTTTACTGACTTAGTGGCCATTGCTTCTACAGTTTTAGTTAACGAGATTTCAAACTGAACATTACACAGCAATCCTATTCTTAGAAGCATCATAAGAACCTGAAGAGGGGCATTTTCTGAATCTTTGGGCTCCTATTAAATAAAATTATTAATAGGACATCTGACTAGTCACACTAAATAATTATGAGTGAGATGACAACATAGCAGAAATTTCAGTTACAATGTGGAGTTCATGGACTATGTATTGAATATGCATTAATAGATATCAGTCTCAATGTAACTTTGCATATCACTTTTTTCCTGGAAGTTGTGATTCTTTCAAACTAGTTCTAGAAAGTTACTTAAGCTGTGAAGTGAATTCAAGACACTATTCTACTCCAACTATAATATATATGAAGATATGCCTATCTCATAGAACTGAAATAAAAAAAGACTGGAACAGATTTCAATAATTCTGTATAATTATCACTGATTTGTTTTATTAACATAATGACATTGCAATATAATGATGTCACAGTAAAAATTACAACATCAGAGCCAACTTAAACAGTTCTGAGAGCCTGGTCAACAATTAACACAAATTAAAATTAATGTTTGCATAATACAGATCATTGTTTAAAGTTACAGAAAATAACACTTAAGGAAGACAATGGAGGGTTCAGCACCTAAGGAAGACAATTTCTCTCTACCAGGTAAAGAGAATATGTAAAATATCAGGTAAAGTCCTGCAAGCTCTGACATATACTCTACCATTGTTAATACTGACTTTCAACACCCTTTGTATTACAGCCCTGTGATGTTCAGAACAGAGAAAACCTGTTATATCTGATCCTTTTATTATTGTGGCCAGCTCTCCAATCAGTACTGGTACAAAATTACCATTCTCTTTCCATCTTCATACTGTCTCTGGTACAATCTCTTTATATTAGATTGAGAGGCCTCATTTTCTCCATGTGTGGAACAGAATAAGCAGCCTTCACAACTTCCTCACTTCAACTTTCATAGAACTCTGAATTTTGAGTGTTGTATTTTTCCCTTCCTTTGCTGCACTGTCATTGCTTGTGGGTCTCACTTTGTTCCAGTCAAGGGCAGAAAAAGTTAAGTGAGTTGCCAAAGGTCAAACAAATAAAAGCCAGTTTTAAAAAAAATGAATCCTCGATTCCTCCTTATTCAGCAAATTCTGCTGTTTGTAGATTACTTATAAAATTCCTGTATGATGGAGGTAATGGAACAAACTAGAGATTTCCTGCGTATAGAGGGTTCAACCTTTTTGGTGCTTGGCACTCACAAATAAGATAGAGTGCCAGTTAGACTGGTTACCTATTACACTTCACTATCTAGTAATTTGCCAGCCAGTAAGCATTAGAATTCCTCATGGGCCACTTTTGCCTCCTCAGTACTTTTTGTGGATATTACTTTATGAAAGAGGTCCAGACAATATAGAGAATGTGATATCTAGCTACAAAAAGCCTATGGTGGAGGTTTGACATATTATTCTGGAGTTTCTATTAGAGATCGCTTTCTTGGTGACCAATAGTGTTACTTTCAAACTCATTATCTCAACAATATCTTTATCATTGATAAGTAATTACTATACAATTAGCTAATAGCTACTAAGTAAACGCATATTCTAAAGACATTAAAGATATATCAAACTAGTCTGTAACAATGCATCAATCAATACATAACATAGATTAAGTCTTTTGAATCAAATAGCACCAAAGGAATATAACTAAATCATAATGCTACCATACAATAAGGTACTAATGCCAAAATAAGAATTAATTAGAAAAATGATGAGATGTTACCCCAGAAAACACCAAGTACCAATTTGCCTTATTTCCTTAATGGCCACGTGTTAGGTTATCAATCTATCATATTTCCATTCTGACCATAAAAGGGTTCAATTCACAGCTTGCATACAACATAATTCAAGCCATTTTTATCAATTAATTTGAAACTTTTATTTAAAAATGTATAGATTGGTGACATGCAATAATACAGCTGGATAGTATTAACATATACTGTTCTTGGGCACAGTATTGATAAAGAGAATAGGTATATATAGTTCCAGTTCCTTTTTATGTGCAAGTAATATGCCATCCTATCTCCACCTTCAAAAATTAAAGGGGAACCTAGGCTTTATGGATATAAGTGTAACATTTAGAGGGAAATAAATTAGCAACGATTTCTAAAGTATAGTAATAGTATTATGTTGAAACTTGCATAGACTGAACCCTTCTAAAATTACAGAATAAAGAAGAACCTCTTTTCCAGTAGGAAGGTGTACAATATAAAAATTAAAGTATTAAAACCCAGATTCTCCTTGATTTTGTTAATCATTGTGCCCAATATATTTAGCACAGAAGCAGCCCCCAGGATTACCATTTAGCACAGGGAATGATAGATTAATAACTAAATAATGCAATGCAATTAGAATTTTTTTGCTCTGGAGTTAGCGTTGCATAGAGTAAGGCACTAGATTAGGAAGAAAGCAGAATTTTCTAGTTCCTACCTATATCATTGGCTACCATCTTGGAAAATTTTCTGCTTTTGGTCATCACTGTAAATAACATTTTAACAAAAAATGTCAAGAAAGTATAAATGTATGAAAGGAGGAATTGAACAAAAGAAATAATGCTGTTAAAATAAAAATACTGTACCCTTTTCTATAAAATTATTCATTTTTTGATCATCATCATCATCAGAATTGTTTGGAGAACCAGAACCTATATAAGTGAAGACAGAATGAAATGGACATGCAAAATGGACATACACAAAACAAGATACATGCATAACACTGATTTGACAAAAAGACTGCATAATACGACAAAAGTTATGAGATTTAACATACTGTCACACTGACTTCAGAGTTAGGATACATCAAAATACTAAAATTTTGGCACTGCAGATGCTAAACTCTTTGCAATAAAGGAGTGCACACAAAAATAAGCAGGTAATTTGAAGCAAAATTCCTTCATAGAGCAACACACACCATCACAACACACTGCACCTCGGTTATTTTGGTTAGGCATTAATTTAATATACACATTTTAATATATGGACACCTAGTATGTAAGTTTGTAAATAAGAATAGAACAAAGAATTAATGCAAATTTTGATCTACACAGTGAAAGCAAGAGGTATCTAAAAGTTAGAGAATACAGAAAATTTAATTCTGCCAGCAGTGGTTCTAAAAGACCACTGATATTGAATAGACTAGGATTTATGAATCCACTGTTTTAGAGATTTAACTTGGTGGCTTTTAAAATTTTATTAAAATGCCAAACAGGTGTTGACACTGGTAAAAATATCACCAATATTTCAGAGAGTTTTTGAAGGGTATTATTTTCTTATTATAGGTATCTGAGTATCATACTTTGTATATGCTATGCAACTTCAGAGTGCTAGATGAGGGGAGCAGAGTTTAAAGCTTTTATAATCTCTTCATTTTAGGCTTTCATTTTATTTCTGCTGTAATTTAGTTCGCTCTCTAAAAGCCAGAGCTGGGATAGGCAACCTACAACACGCATGCCATAAGTGGCATGTGAGTTGATTTTCAGTGGCACATGGGGTAGGTGCTCAGTCCCACCCCTCCTCCCCTGCATAGCACTACTTGAGCTTCATGGTTGCTGCACAGCCACAGCACCAGCTCTGGGGGGGCAGGCAGGGAGGCTGCTGATTGGGCTGTGCGAGTGGCTGGTGCGCAGCCACAGAACCAACTCCGCTGGGGAGGGAGGGGTTTCAGACTGGGCTGTGCACCTGTGGCTGCTGCTCTCCCCCTTCTCTGCCATTGTAGCAGCGATCTGGTGGAAGCAGTTGAGCTGTAGCTGGTGGGTGTGTGGGGGCTCAGCTGTACAAGCTCCTCCAGTGGCCGGGGCTAGGGCTTGGGTCACGTGGGCTGCTCCTCTGGCAGCAGGGCTGGACCAGGGTGGGTGGTTATGCCAGGGTTTGGGCCATGTGGTTGCTCCTTTGGTAGTGCAGCTTCAGGACTGGGGCACGGGCAGCCCAGCAACCCAGCTGGCTTTGCAGTGGGGTTGTTCTGTGGCAGCGTGATGGGAACTGCATGCTGGCCCAGCAGTGGGGACCTGGCCCAAGTGCTGATGTACTGACTGGAGCAGCACTTATGGCAGCAGGTCCAGGGCAGCTGTGTTGCCCAGCCAGCAATAGGGCTGAAGAAACCAGCAGCGGGGAGGAGCGACAGGCTGAGGGGACCAATGGCAGGGGACCATAGCTCCCTCAAAGCTGCATGACTATGCGACTGAGCAGCTGTTTTCTGAGCTCCGCTCATAAGTTCAAAGCTCCTGCATAGGCAGGGAGCTCAGCTGATCGACTGGAGCAGAGAGTTGTCTTGCTGAGCAAGCAGCTAAACAGCACAACTCCCAGAGCAGGTAATAAAAAGCAAGATAAGGAGAGAATAAGTGGCTAGGCAGGGGGAGGAGAAGCGAGCGAGTGGGTAATTGGGAAGTGGAATCAGAGAGAAGGGCAGTTTGGAGAATCTCTTCTGTGTGGGAGAGAGGCAGAAACTCATTACTCTCAAGCCTCCTGAGAAGAAGGAAGTAAAGGTGCTGACTGCATGGGGTAGGTGGAAGAAAGAGAGGGTAGGCAGGTTCTGGCACTGGGGTGAAGTGGAGGCAAGGAGGTAGTTTGTTTGTGCTTGGAGGTGGGGGAGGTGTGGGTAATTTGCTTGTGCTTTAGCTGGGAGTTAGGACAGGACTGACTGTTGGTGTCTACTACTTTGAGAAGCAGGATTTTATCCCAGCATCCACCTAGGCTAGGGGGAGCACATTGCACAAGGGTAGGTGGGGTAAAAACTATTAGACTTTAAAAAGTATCAACAGCACGCATACCCATAAACAGATGTGAGTAAGTTAAATCTCGGCATGCCACTTCTGAAAGGTTGCTGACCTCTGAGCTAACGGGTGCTTTGCCAACTAGCAAGGGCATGCAGTCTTTTCTACAGATGTCAATACTGTAATCACTCAGTGGAGGAAGTTAGAACGTAATTGAAGTTGCAGCTGTGTTCATTTGGAAGATTGAAACTATCACACACTGTAGTATCAGATGACTGAAGATGTCTCAGAGTGTCAGTTCCAAACACTGATCTTCCAGAATGTTGTGCAACAAACCCATTTCCTAATCAAGATCTAGCTGAGCATTATTTTACAACAATCAGTTCCAAAACCATATTCATTGAATTTTTAAAACATGCAGAATTACAAAGTTATAAATTAGATATTGCAACCTTACCCATAGCTAGTCTCCTTCCTAGACGAACCTAACCCACCTAAATCTGCCTTTGCCTATTCTCTGCATTTTTAGACAACCAGTATATGATCCTCTGATTTTCTCTTGGTGCCCTTCAAGTTCTAATATACAGCCCCACCTTCCCAAAAGCTCATGAATCCTCTCCAGTGTTCTTGCCCGAAGAGTCCCTCTATGAAGCTGACAACCTAGTACCCCCAGCTACTTAGAATTTTAATCTAATACAAGACAAATATATCCAGGATTTTTTCTTGTTACCTACCCAGCACAGTGTGTTAAATTTCTGCATGATGTGATGCATACTCTTTGGCTTTTCTATGGCAGAATGCAAAATGAATTTACTTACTTAAATAGCGTATCTGACCCCTATATTTTTTCAGATATAAAGAAAACTGATGAAGAAAAAAATATGTTAATGAATTTACTGATATTTTTTAATTTCAAATTTAAATAGAATGTGGAATCCAGTGTTTTTCATCTCAAAATTCTTTGAAGATTGGTGGTAATCTGAAAACACTCATAAAAAACCCCTACCCTTCTTCATCACCTTTCCAGTCTTCTTCCTGTATTTGTTTCTCAAGTTTTCCTTCCTAAGGAAAGTTAGTTTAAACTTCACAATATTCCTTTCACCTGTGATATCTAAATAAAGCTTTTTGTGGAGATTGTGATACTGGACTTTCACAAAAGATGCTAATCCTTGCAGGAAGAATATCTTTTCCTGTTTCTCTATCTTTCCTTTCATCCCCATATGCTCCCCATGCTTATTTCTTTTTGCTTGCCTTCTCCTCATCCATTAAATGCCTCCTCTTTCCCCTCTTCCTGATGTCTTTTCTTGTGAGCCACACATTTAATCCTAAAACCCAAACAACCCACACATACCAAATAATTATACATCACAGTCAATATTTTAATGTTCATTCATTCTTTTACATGAATTATCTCCTAAGTTCTATTAAACGTATTTTTACACTCAAAACTTGCCTTAAATTTACCAAGTTTGGTCATTTTACTTACACTCTCTCTCTGCCTAGTTAGAACTAGGGATGTGAATGGGTAACTGGTTAACTGGTAAGCATCACTCCAACCCTGCAGGGCAGCCAGCTCCCAGCCTGTTCAGGGAGTGGCAGCCTGGGGGGTTGGGGAGGCACTGCCAGCTCCCAGCCTGCACGGGCTCACAGGATGGGAGACAGCATCACAACGCAGGACTGGAAATAGCCATGCTGGAACAGCCCCTGTCTGAAGCGCCGCAGCTGCTCCAGAGTACTTACCCCCATTTTATCAATTAACCAATCAAACTTAATATTTAACTGGTTAACTAATTAAATGGGATTTTACATCTTTTAAATGTACCACCTAAAATGAAGGGAGGAAGTAATTCACTGCAACAACAGCAGAACATAGTAAGTGGATCACAGATCTTTGCAGTTATTGGACCTGGCCGTGGGCGATCATGGTTAAACATGACTCCAAATGAGAAAAATTCTTCTTTACATCTGTCTAAGAGGATTGTGTAGTCTAAAATCAGGTTTAACACTCAGCCAACTCTATATTCTAAATTTACCTCATCAGACTAGAACTCTCACAGAAACATTGTAAAATGACAGATGCTATTGAGAGTCTAGTCAAAGTGATGGGAAAAGTGAAACAGTAACATTTCTAGACACTTTTGAAAATTCATTTTTAATACTGAATATATTAATTGTCACAAGTTGCACAAGTTGCAAGTGTGTTATATTATCAGTACCTCAGGAATGCAACACTGCAATTTCTAGCTAAGATTCCGTGTGTGTGTGAGTGCGTGTGCATGCGTACACATGCATACACATTAGTGGCTTGATAAAATTAATAGGAAAAGCACTTACAAAATATACTGTAGCATGAGAACGTCACTCTCCTCAGCCTCATAGACAGCATGCATTTCCACTCTAAGAATATCTTTGCCTGTGTGCTGCCTCCCTGAAGCATAAATTTGTCAAACTAACACGTCACTTGATTGATCCTTATTAGAACTCAAATTTGGTCTTGATTTAAACCAGAATTCTGTAATGCTTAGTGAAATGTTAAATGGCAAAATGAATGCAATATGATGAAAAGAAAAGCTCTCAGACAGGTTCTAGATAATTAATTAGCAAGGATTGTCAACACATGACTTAAAACCATGTCACATTCTGTGCAAGTATAAATCAAAGTATGTGGAAAAACTAGTTACCCGATGTGGGTGACTTGCAGCGATCCTCTGGCACTGCAGTCCCTTCATTAATATCACAAAGACCTGCTGAAAAATACAAAGAATAATTGAAAATAAACAATTAAAATGGCTGTATATCATCTTTCCTGAGTGAGAACTCTATGAATAGCCTCTATATTACACTAAGCAAGTGTTTCTCCCACTTGAGGTGGTGGGATGGAAGATTTTTTTGTACAAATGTAATAGTCTTTCACATAAGAGGCTGATCTTAATTACCTCAAAATAGTCTGTTTGACAAAAGAATTACAGTATTACCCCAAATATTTACATGCAATTTATTTTTAATCAATTCATCAATATTTCATCAGAGAACAAATACTGTCTTACATTATCAGAGTAAGGTTATTTTATTTTATTAGAGGTAGATATGTGCATTATACATGTATATGGTCCATAACAAAAGACTAATGTATGATCTAAAATCTAAGGTAAGTAAAATAAGAAAAGTAATTTATGTTTTTGATAAAAATTAGATGAATAGGAGGATTGTAATATTAATGACTTCTCTAATATACTTTAATATTATCATGTGACCTCTATGGTGTAATTACATATTTTTTACTTTCATTTTATTTGTATGATTATATTATATTCCTGCACTTACATTTAGGTGATTCTGTACCATTAGTTTTTCAACACAGCTCATTGATTTCATTTACGAAATCGATTGATGATATAAAGGTGGCTATGGTTTATTTTTGGAGGGTGAAATAATTTTTCCCCTGTTGAGGGCTTTCAAATAAGGACCCTCAAAATGACACCATCACACAAAGCAAGAGACTATATTTACAAGATTTTTCTCACTAAAAGAAATGGTAATTTTGCATTCTTTAAATATGCAAAGGAGGAAGTTATTTCATAGGAATCACATACTGAAAACTTGTGATGCAAATGCAGTTTTTGATCCTGTTTTCTTTATGCCTTGACAAAGGATGTGTTGAAATTTAAGTTACCAGTTAGGCCTGCTAATATTTTTGTTTTTTAAATAAGAAGCTTTCATTACATTTTTAAGAATATTAACCTGTTCTCAGACTTACTTAAAAATAGTGCTCTCTCTGGATCGTTATTATGATGTACCATACTAATCTAAATACAAGAACAACCAATTGCATGAATAACACACACCTGAATCCTTAGTTAGAATTAAAAACCATCTGTATGTACAGAACAAAATTTTCAGCACAGTAAAATCTTTGTTCTTTGTATGTGAATTTTCTGAAAAAATGTGTTGAGACTATTGAAGAGATGGCTGATGGGGGAAGGATTAACATGCCAGAACAGACAGAATCAAGGTTTACCCAACTTGCACGTGTGACTCTACTGACTTCAATGTGTTTGCATTGATATAGAGGGCAAAAAAAGGTGCAAGAAACAGTTTTTTTATTTCAAAACTCGGTGGTGCTAATTATTTTCTTTAATTTGGGGTTAACAAGTGACTATTTTCTGAACGACAAAGAA